CGGCTATAATAGTTCGTTATCATAATCAGTAAATTATTATTTTCATCTCGTAATATTGTGCTCTTAATATAACATAAACTCACTGTTACTTTTGTACATCAAAGGTGAGTGAAAATAAATTGAATATATCGTGCAGTATTTGGTCCCATACAGCACAGAACATTGCAGCAACATTTGCAACATTGCCGCAATGTTGCTGCAATGTTGTTACAACGTTCTGTGCTGTATGGGGTAGTGCATAATGTTTTATAAAGTAAGAACTTTTTATATGATATGTAAAAACTTGTACATAAACTTTAGATTTCGTATAAATTTATTTATAAATTATTTTTTTATATGATCATAACAGTAGAAAAATACAATTTGCACCTTTCATTTATCTTTTAATTTTTATGTAAATTAACATCTTTTGCATATTATTAATTTTTAGAACATATCTATATTATTTTTTATGCTTATACAATAATTTTACAGATAATTTTTTATGAAAAGTAGAATATTTAGCATAAAAACTATAAGAGTAATAAAATATTTTTAATCATGCTTAAATTTTTAGTTTATATCCTAGATTTGTTAAATCAGTTATCATAGTTGCTACAGCATCAGGAGAAATAGATGTAAGTGGTGTACGAGATAGTTCTACATTGATCTCAGTAAGAAGATTCATTGCTATTTTTATAGTCTGCACCCAATTATCTATATATAATCAATTCTTAGTAACGATGCATTTTATTAAATGCAAAAACAATATTTATTATGTTTTCTTATAACAAATGCAGTGCTTGAAAGTTTATCCTGTATATTCTTAACTCTTAACATATCTCCATTTTTGCTAGCAGCAAGAATATCCAGTATAAGTTTTGGAAACATATTTGTGCTGGTCAATAAAGGAATCCATTCCCAATGCACATGCAGTGTTCACTAACTAGGATAAGACAAAGGTATATTTATCTCTATTATACTAGAATTAAAATTAAATATAGAGCTTGCTAGCTTTTTTAAGACTTTTTTAAGATTTAATTTGAAGACTTTTCACCTGATCATTACAAAGAAAAATAACATATTTCTTGTTATTGGCATGTAATGCTTGTGCACTTTCTTCTAAATTGGCATTAGTGAACTTTTATACTCACAAATGATGGTATTTTATAATCAATTGATTGAAGGAATTGTCCCATGTGCACTATAAAAAAATTATATATGATATGATACATACACATTTGAAGAAATATCAATATTGTCAATTACATCTTTTGATAAAGATTATCATGCATATTTACATGTATTAAAAGAAATTGCTCACTATTAACTGAAAAGTAATAAGCTTGAAGCTGAGAAGTAATAAGCTTGAAGTATAAGTCTGGTAAACAGAGTATAGAATTTACATGCAGAGAATTTGCATGTTGCCTATGAAATTACATTATTTTTACTTTATTATTTGATTGCATAGTATTTGTGTTGAACATTATTCCACATATATTAATTATGTACCTTATATCTATATATTGATGTACTTACAAGCTTGATAATATCGGAAAAAGGAGCGCCTCCTATTTGAATCATTAAATGTTGTACGTTTTGTTGCTTTTACCCAAGCTTCAGCAACAAATTTTCTTTCAGCGACAGACATTGATGTCTCACCACTTGTACTCTTGACTGCAAAATGATATGTCATTTATACAACATTAATATTTTAGTTTTAAAATAAGAATGGTTATATATTTCTGCTCTTGGAATAATTTTTAAGCAAACTTTTTTACAAGAATTCAGTAAATATGTATAAAATGTTACTCTGTGTGTGTGTGGGGAGGGGAGGGGGGATATAGAGAGACTAGAAAATATAAAGAAATTAAATATAGAGAGACTAGAAGCTTTTAATAATAAAAATTACCGAGTATACCATTAATTCCTTTTTTTGCCAGATATGTTGCATATTGTGATATAATACCCAAATTAAGAGATCTATTGAATAAATATTGGTCATATTATCATTTAGTTTAACATTAACAGAGATTATAGAAATAAATTAATTACCCATCATTATTAAAAGATATTAACACTGGGACAATGAAATCTGTGTAAGTGTATGACAATCACTGTATTTAAAAATTTAATTATCTGCACATTATCAAAAATGCTATAATCTCAATATTATTTATTTTTATTTATATGAATGATATATCTTTAATGTATATATAAATCTATTTCATTTATTTAGTTTCTACATATTTTGTTTCTCCTATTTAAAGAATAAAAATTGTACAGAGTATAAAAAGATCGTGTGTCACAGCTTTTGAAGTGAATTTCTGTTTCCTATCTGGCGAAGATGTTTTTAAAAAACATACCACAGAATTTAAATGTGAAATTTAAATTTTTAATTTTATTTCAAACTATTCTATTTATGTTCATTAAAAGAATAAAAAAGAAAGTATACAAATATTGTGAATATTATCTACCTACGGATATCGTTAATGAGCATAACGATAACGTGAATCTAACGAGATAATAGCGTGAAAAGAAGCGACTGATAATTAAAAAATAAATACAAATTTCCTTCTTCTCCTGCCTTTGTCGAGTTCTGATAAGATAGATTGTCATTTTATTTGTCATCTAACATCGCAACAAGTGCATAATTTAAAAAATTCATATCTTTCGCATTTTATTACTTGCATAAAATGTTATCATTAATAATATATACGAGACATACAGATAATTTAAACAGTGATAATAACATTATTGGTTTTAAAATGCCAATCATATATTTATTTCTTATTCGACAAATTTCTTATTCTCATAAATCATAAATCCCCTGAAAACAAATTGAACGAATTATAACGGTTTTTAAATGAAAGTTATATGTGATTTAAAAGTATTGTATTAAATTTAACTATAGTAAAAGTTAAGTATATTAAAAGTTTCCATAACTCTTAATTATTTTAAGAAACTTATATGAAAACTATACACACACGTGCACGCGCGCGCGCGCGCGCACACACACACACATATATATACAGGGTGTCCCATTTTATTGTCCCACCCCAAATAACTTTTTTATTTTTGATTGTAGAAAAAAATGTTTCAGACAGAAGTTGTATGGTTTCGATGGGGCCACATGACAAAAATATGGACTTGACTTTGAGTGACCTTTTCAAGATGAGATCAATGTGATCGATGTTTTCTTAAATGGAACGGAAAGCTCTCGAGGAAAGCTACAAGAATATGTAATGAGAAATATGGTTTCATTTTAAAAAATGAGAGAGAGAGAGAGAGAGAGAAGATGACCTTCAAATCTCTTAAGCGCCTCCACCTAAAAAAAAATGTTCGCTTCCACCAGATTTCTCCCTCGATACCATACAACTTTTATTTCAAACATTTTCTCCTATCTCCAAAACTGTGGGAGTTATCCAGGTGGCCTGTCTTAGATGCCTCACCCTGTATACAGGATGTCCCATCAAAAGTGGCTACCGCCTTTTATCTTTTGAACTAAAAGAGATATACCATAACAAATATATATCAAATTAAATGGCCCAACTGAATTCTATTGTGAGCATAATGATTGTTTCCAAACGCTATCTGTGTTGAAGAACGGAGAGGTATGCATAATTTTTTTATAATATGAATTTTTTGACATGAAAAAAATTGTAGCGCTATTTGAAATGAATGCAACGATGTATGATATAATGTAAATATTTTACATGTTATACAAATTTTATCAATTTGAAATACCGCGGCGACGTCTGTCTTTTCATTTTCGGCTCTGCGATATGGCCAACTTAGGATTAAGTATTATGATCAAATGACAACATGACATATGTTAATCTCTAATGCACGAGTCAGAAGTTGGCCATATCGCAGAGCAGAAGGTAAAAAGGTAGACGTCGCCCGCGATATTTCAAGTCGATAAAACTCGTATAATATGTAAAATATTTACATTATATCATACATCATTGTACATCATTGTACATCATTTAACACATAGTTTTTGAAAGCAACCACTATGTTCACAATAGAATTCAGTTTGAACTATTTAATCTCCTGCTCATAAACGATATTTTTTAAATAGCCGTACAAGTAGAAGTCTAGCGACGTTAGGTGATCGCGCAGGCCATGAAACGGGACTACCACGTCCAATCCACCTTTCATTATACTGTCTATTTAGGAAATTTCTAACGATCCTTGCAAAATGTGGCCCTGCTTCATCTAACTGTAGCCACATTCATTGCCTAACATGTAATTCTACGTCTTCAAGCAAGATCGATAGTTCATATGTAAAGAAGTGCAGAAAATTTTCTTGGTTAACCATTCCATCAAAAATAAGGTCCAATTAAGTGACCATTAATTATATCACACCAAACATTAATATTCCAACAATCGTCTATTTGTCTTTGCCAATGAGGATTAACGTCTGACCAATAATGACAATTATGACGATTCAGTTCTCCAGTATTTTTGAAAGTGGCTGCGTCAGAAAACATAATATAATTGAAAAAATCTGCATTATTTATCATCATTTCTTGAGCTTACTGATAAAAGTGCAAACGTTGCCTTATGTTGTTAGATATAATAGCCTGAATTAATGTTATGTGGTAAGGATGGTATTTGCATTTTTTTAAGATCCTTATATATATAGAATTGTTGCCTTGTGAATACTTAATTGTCTTTCTATTTGTTCACTAGAAATATGGGGATTAAAGTAAACAGCTGCTACAGTACGCGTTTGCACATCATTTTTATTATAAACCTTATTTTTTTTTATTGCGCTTTAAATGACTTTGACATGCTTTTGCTTCAAGATATCGCATAGCAGAACGATTCGGATGTCTATTTGAATATCTAATTTGATAAACTGCAGCGGCTTGACGATAATTTCTGTAATATTAGCTCAAAATGAATAACATATCAACAATTTCTGATGGAATGTAATCTGCCATAAGTATTGTGTATAAATATTAAAGTAGAAGATCGAGAAAAATATCGGGCCGAGAGCCTAGTGTAAGCCACTGACACTAGAATGAGGACGCAGCTCACCCATTGATGTCAGTATCAGAGCTGTCAGATCGTGGGAAATGGGAACCACCACTTACCACGGAACTTACTAACACAAACGTAGCCGCTACGTCATAGCGTATACGTGTAGCCTAAATTCGTGCGTCGTCGGTTCACGTACACGCTATGACGTATGTTAATCCTCATTGGCAAAGACAAATAGACGATCAGTATCGTTGGAATATTAACGTTTGGTGTGGTATAATTGATGGCCACTTAATTGGATCTTATTTTTTTGATGGAATGGTTAACCAAGAAAATTTTCTGCACTTCCTTACATATGAACTATCGATCTTGCTTGAAGATGTAGAAATACATGTTAGGCAAAGAATGTGGCTACAGTTAGATGGAGCAGGGCCACATTTTGCAAGGATCGTCAGAAATTTCCTAAATAGACAGTATAATGAAAGGTGGATTGGACGTGGTGATCCCGTTTCATAGCCTGCGCGATCACCCGACCTAACGTCGCTAGACTTCTACTTGTGGGGCTATTTAAAAAATATCGTTTATAAGCAGGAGACGACTAGTAGAGAAAATATGATGGAAAAGATTGAGACTGTTTGTCGAAATATTCCAAGAAATGTATTATTAAATACCATTAGACATTTTCAACGAAGAGTGGAATTATGTATCCAAGAAGAGGGGAATATATTTGAACATCTTATGTGATAAACATACTACAAATCATGAGAGGCGAGGGTAACCCATGTAAAAAAATTTCAAATAATCGCGAGCTAGTAAGAGCCAGAACGCGGATGGTAGAGCGTCAGTTTCATAGAAAAATAAGTTTTCTATGAAACTGATTATGTGCACAGGGCACAAAATTTACTTGGTGCTATACTAAAATTTTCAAAATTAATCTCAATTCTCGAGATTTATAATAACCCCTCTTTACTCCCCTGGAGAGACGAAGGCGAGATTAACCCGCGATTATTTGAAATTTGTGATGTCACTCGAGAGCCTTAATTTCTTAAAATTGTCATGTAAAAAAAAGCATCCCGATGTGAGAGGCGAGGGGACTCATGTTAATTAAACACCCCACAAACGCACGAACACCCGTATGCATGCACACACACACACACACGCAACACACACAAAAAGTGTGAGTCCAACTGTACAATCTCAGCGTGGTACATCTCGGGTAGTGCTAAAGTCGGTGGCATCTTAACCTTCAAACTTCATATTTTGATAGCAATTCATCGAAAAAAGGTTCATAAGTAGTGTTTTGAAATCGTCTCGACAAGGACTACAAGAATTGCAATAAAAAATAGGAGTTTTAATTTTAAAAATTTAATGCGATCTTGATATCACCCCAACAACGCCACCTAAGGTCTAACTAACATTCCTATCTTCTTTCCTCCTCAGAACCAAACAACTTTTGTCTAAAAAGTTTCCTTCTAAAACTTACAGATTTTAAAATATTTGAGTGGATAAATTAAAATGAGCCACCTTGTATATTTTGTAGCGGAGTAAATGAGAGAGAGAGAGAGAGAGAGAGAACGTGTGTACGATCAGCTGTTTGCTACACGCGATGGGTGTAAGAGAAAGAGAGAGAGAGAGAGAATGTGTGTGTATACGCGTATACGTTCTTTCTCACACATACACCCCATCGCATGTAGCAAACAGTTGATCGCAGCGTGCGCTTCACGTAATCACCAGCATCGGACGGTGAGTTTCGCCGCCCCTGCCTGCCTCGCGTACGCGGCCCGTAATTCGTTAACTGCTTTACCTTATAATTTGAAAACTAAGCCTCGGAAAAAATTTTGGCAAAGGAAAAATCGTCTTAGAATTGAGTCAAGTATATGATATTGTAAGGACAGAAGGTTGTTTTGAATCACCCTGTATATAAAAAAGTTATTTGCATATATATATACTACTTTTCTCAAAAATCACCATTCGAAGTGAGGTACTTATTGTAGTGTGGCACAAGTTTTTGTATACCCTCATCAAAGTATGGCGCCAAATTGGAATCTTAGCACTGCTAATTAATTCTTGGTTGCCTTCGAATTGCTACACTCTTAGCCACACTTTTATGCGAAAAATCTGTCGAGAAACCCCCATTGGAACCTCCGGAGCAATCCAATGGGAGTTCGATCATCCATCTTACATCCTAGACCTTGCACCAAGTGACTTTCATCTTCACATGCGTGAAAATATGTTAAAAATGCAGCGATTCGAGGACAATGAAGAGTGGATGTGATGAGCAGTGTTAGGAGTTGGCTGAGATTCAAGTTTGGCAGCAATGTACTTTGATGATGGTAAAAGCTTGTGTCGCGTTACGACAAGTGCCCTCAATTCGAATAACGATTATGTCGAGAAAAGTAGTGTGTGTGTGTGTGTGTACACACACACGCACAAACACATATACAGGGTGTCCCACCAAAAATGGCCACCCCCTTTTATCTTTTAAACTAAAAGAGATAAACCATAACAAATATATATCAAATCGTTCAATATATATTAAATGGTTCAAACTGAACTCTATTGTAAGCATAATGGTTGCTTTCAAAAGCTATCTGTGTTAACGAACGGAGAGGTACGCATCATTTTTTTATAATAATGTGAATATTTCGATATGATAAAAGTTGTAGCACTGTTTGAAACGAATACAACGATGTATGATATAATGTAAATATTTTATATATTATACGTGTTTTATCAACTTGGAATATTACGGGCGACGTTTACTTTTTCATTTTCGACTCTGCGATATGGCCAACTTCGGATTGAGTATTATGATCAAATGACAACATGACATATGTCGATCTCTAATGCATGAGTCAGAAGTTGGCCATAACGCAGTTCAGAAAGTGAAAAGGTAGACGTCGCTCGCGATATTTCAAGTTGATAAAACTCGTATAATATGTAAAATATTTACATTATATCATACATTGTTATATTCGTTTCAAACAGTGCTACAACTTTTATCATATGGACTTTTATCATATCCACATTATTATAAAAAAATTACGCATCTCTCCGTACATTAACACAGATAGCTTTTGGAAATAACCACTATGCTCACAATAGAGTTTAGTTTGAACCATTTAATTTGATATGTATTTGTTATGGTATATCTCTTTTAGTTTAGAAGATTAAAGGGGGTGGCCACTTTTGATGGGACACCCTGTATATACACATACACGCACGCGCGCACACACACACACGAACACACCCCCCACCCACCCACCCACCCACCAACACACACACACACAAGTAACTTTTGTGTATATTGAAATATTTTTTGTTTTTTATTTTATTTTTCAAGCCTACCAGAAGTTGATTTCTGAATAGCACTTGTATTATCAACATTATTAAACAAATCTATTCTTAAAAGAAAGTTCCAGAAAGTTTTGTAACTAATTTAATAAAATATTTTGTTATAAAACAAGGCAGCCTATGATAAAAGTATCGTTGCAAAAAACGGGTGCAGGAACGCAGTAGAGAGTTTAATGCCAAAAGAAAATTAAAAGAAGATTCGAAGGCACGAAGCGCGAGGCGCGAGGAGGCTTTTAAGCAGGCAAAATCGGACGAGGAACAAATGAAAGTATGCAATCAATTTCTTTAAAGTTATAATATTTCTTAGATTATTAGTACTCCACAGAAATCTGTAATATATATAATTATTTATAGATGGAGATGGAAAAATTAGAAAAGGAAGGAGAAAAATTATTCGAAAAAGAGGCTTTGATACAAAAACAACAGATACAAAAGCAGGTACAAGCAGTTGATAAAAAGAAATATAGACCTGGACCCGCCATTAATAACGAGCATCCTGCCGGGGACTTTCCGTGTATGTATACTTTTAAAGTATTATATGAATAGCACAAAGTTATGATATATATACATTTTAATTGTACGAATATAAAACAAATCTTAAGCGACAGCGATATATAATAGCATTGTAACTTATTCTAATGCAATGTTGTGATCACAGATATACTCAAGTGCAGTGTATGTGAAAAAAGTATTTATAGTATAAAATGAAATATAAATACTTTTGTCATGTGCTGCACTTGATTGTACCTGTTATCGCAATGTTGAATTAGAATAAATCACAACGCTACTGTATATTGCTGTCACTTGATTACATAAATTATTCCTTACAATAAGATTTGTTTTATATTTGTGCAGTTAAAATGTATGTATATCATAACTTTGTGCTTTCTGTTTTTATATATGCTATTATCTTTTTGTATTAACGGTGAAAAAAATATAGAATCAATAATAAAATCTTTGATATTTTCAGATTGGTGGAAGAGAGGTAAACGACGAGATGCAATCAAAAGACAAGAGGAGTTTATGGCCTTTCTCTATAAGTTGTCTTCTTTTAAGTTTTATAAGTTGAACTCATTATTATTTGGGACCGAAACGAGGAAGAGGAAGAGGAGGTAATATTTTTCTAAATAATAATTATTATTGATATTAATTATTATAATCAAGCGACACGGTAGTGTCGCGACGCCAAATATATGAAAAAATTTCTTTCTGACTTGTCAACGATTTGCCTATGTACAGGGGCCGCAACGCTACCAAGTAGCTTATCCGGAGTTTTACGTCTTAATAAACTTTCGATTAAAATATCTCAGGAACTAAAGCCGTAATCAAAAATCTAACGGCACTTTTCTCATACAATGTGGATGCAAGCTTTCGATTGCGACCAATTTGAATAAGATTGGTGCAGTCAATCCTGAGGTATGATAATCGTATCGAGCGAAATACCAGAATTGTGACATTTATTTTTTCCAACTTTCAGACTCACGTACGTATGCTCGCATGCACATATGCAAAGCGATTTTGTCCCTCAAGGCGCGTTTGCAGTGCTCATGTACGATTATTTGCTTGAGTGTGCAAATACGCCTTGAGAAACAATGTGTATGTGCGTGCATACGTATATGATATGTATCAAGCGACGCGGTACGCGGTAGCATCGCGACGCCAAGATATAATGTTATTAAAGTTAAGGTTATATTTGAATCTGTCTGCAGAAAATATATTTGGTGCTATCGAATAAGTAGATTGAAAATTTCGAGGAAACTAATATATACAGGGTGTCCTAGACCACCCGTACACTCCTTTTCTTTCAAAAACTAAGCATTTTAGAGTAGAAAATATTAGAAAATATTAATCTGTGTTTGAACTAGCCTTAAATGTACAAAATAATTTAATAAATACGTAATTCCAACAGACAATTAATATAATAACCTTAAAATATATATATAAAACATATATAGGTCTTACTTAAAAGGTAGATATATATTTTAACTGCAGATAGAACAATCGGGTCTTAATATAAATTAATGAATTTCTTGTTATATAATATATTTACGCAGATGTTTTTACTCCTCGCATTTCTGCAACATTAAAGCGACTGTTTTCTCTTATAAATTGACACACCAATAACTTATCAATTTTTAGTAGAATTTGTTTTAACATATTTTGCTTCCATTTGATTTCGTCCATTAATGACTATTTTTCTTTAAAAAAAAGTAAAACCGCAAACAATCTCCTTGTTCCCTGTACTAAATCGAAGTTTTAGTAAGGAAGTGACGTCACGCGGCTACAGCGCCATATTGGCGCGTTTTCGTAGCATTTCAAACTATGATATTTTAAATAATTTAAAAATAATACAAATTGAACGTTTTGAAGCAAACGAAAAAAATTTTAATAACTAAATAGGGTATGAACTTCAATAAAAAAATATTTTTGAAAAACGTTATAATACCCTATTATAAATAGAGCCAGAACAGATTTTTTGCCTGTTAAAATAACGGAGCGCTAATTTAATTTAGTTTAAATAACAATGTATTAATTGATTCTGCG